CTCACTCGCTTCGAGGAGAGGGTGGGGGAGAAGCCTCTGGCATCCATGAGGACGCAGCTGCTGTCGGATCTAGAAACAAAGGTTATGACTGTCTTCTTGCATTATGAGGCACTGCATGACCAGGACGTGGAGGTATGGTTGAGACAGCATTGCGTGCTATCATCCAACTGCAAGAGGGTGCAAGACTCTGTGGGGATATGGACCGGGGCCAGGCAATGGAGGGTGCGCCTGAAGACGGAGGGGGGGGGGGGGCTCTGAAACATATCCCGAGCGCCTTAAATATCGGGGGGAACAGGGGGTATGTGGTATACGCGGGCCAGCCTAAGCTGTGTAGGAGGTGTGGGGGAAGGGGGCACCTGGCGGCAGCATGTGAGGCAAGAATCTGCTACAGGTGTAAGGCGCTGGACCACACGGTGGAGGAGTGCAGAGAGCCGGTCCAACAGGGTGTGGGTGTACCAGGGTGGATGGGAAGGGGAGGTGGTGGAGGAGGCAACCGGACGGGGATCGGACCGAGAACTTGCGGGGGAGGAGGAAGGAGAGGCGGCAGAACCACCCCCCCTCAGGGTGGGGGGTGAGAAAGCAAGACCTGCGAGGGGGAAGCAACAACATCACCGGACCGGGAGTAGGGGGAGCAGGGGGAGGAGGGGAGGGAAGATGAGGGAGACGCCCCAGGAATCCCTGTGGTGGACTGGGCGGAGGCAGTGGGCGAGGGAGAGGGCAAGAGGAAGCGACGGGCAGAGGAAGGAGCTTAAGGGGTGTGGGAGGAAACAACGGGGAGGAAGAGGAAACTGAATAGGGCCCCAAAGGGAGTCGGTCCCCAGCACGACACAGAACCTTCAGACTCCTCACTGGACACGGAGGTGTCTGGGTGGAGGAGGACAGAAGAAGGGGGGCGGTGGAACGGGGGGAAGCCCCGGAGGTTGGGAGGTATGAAGAAAGTGCAGGAGAAGGTGGACAAGGACAGTTACAGAGAGCGTGCAACGGAGTCGGAGTCGGACTAAAGTGCACTCCGACATGGACCTCTTGGTGGCGTCCATAAACGTGAGAGGAATGAAGGGGAAGGGAAGGAGGGGAGCAATTATGCAGCTGTTAAAGGCCACCAGAAGGGACGTGACCTTCCTTCAGGAGTGCCACCTACCATACACCCTGGGCTCGGAAGAACTGCTTGAAGACTGGGACGGTCACTACTTATGGTCCGGTAGTAACGGGAATCGGTGCACTGGGGTAGTTACCCTCTTGGGCAAGAGGGGAATGTGGGTGGAGGGAACTCAAGAGATGATCCCGGGCCGACTCCTTTGTGTGGACGTGTCCTACCGGGGCGTGGAGCTGAGGCTGGTGAATGTGTACGCCCCTGTACGATGCGCGGAAAGGGTTGACTTGTGGGAGAGCCTGGCGACCCTGCTGGTTACTAGGCGACAAGTCATTGTAGGGGGAGACTTCAACTGCCCACTATACTTGACGGACCTGGTGTCGGCAAAGGGGAGGAGGAAACTGGACTCTTCCTCCAGGAAGCTGAGAGAACTGATGGAGGACCTCGGCATGATAGATGCTTTTAGGAGGGTGCATGATGCAAGACCTGGATACACATGGTCGGACAAAAGCGGGGGAGCGCAGTCGCGGAGAGATTTTGTCTTTACCTCTGCCAAAGTAGAAGTGGAAAGTGTGGGGGTGGAGCCCTTCTCCTTCTCGGACCACAAAATGGTCATTGCAAGGCTCGCGATCCCAGGGGGGGGCGAGGAGAGGAAAAGGGATTTGGAAACTGAACGTGAGCCTATTGGAGGACGAAAAAGTGGTGGGGGACTTTGTGCAAAAATAGAACGACTGGAGGACCTTACGGGACTGTTTTTCCACGAGGGTGGAATGGTGGGGCCTGGTGAAGGGCAGGGTGAAAACGCTATTCGAGTACCATAGTAGGAGGAGGAGTGTGAACAGGGAGTTGAGGCAGTGGAACGCCAGGTTGGAGAGGGTGTACAGATTGCTTGAACTAGGTTTCCCAATGGGGTAAAGAATAGAGAAATTGAAGGGGAGGATAGCCTCAGTGTTAGAAAGGAGGGCTAGACAGCTAGTGTACAGGGCGAGGGTTAGGGCAACGGAGGAGGGGAGAAATGCACGAGATTCTTCTTCAAAGCAGGTAGGGAGGGGGATAACGTAATCAAGGAGTTGGAAAGCCCTACCAGGGGCAGGCAGACGACGACGGCAGGGATGACGAGTATAGCGGAGGACTGCTACAGGGAGCTGTATGGGAGAAAAGGGACAGATGGCGGAAAGCGGGAGGCGCTGTTGGGGGCACTGGGGAGGAGGATTGGGAACCAAGAGGCGCTGGGGGAGAAGATTCGGCCGGGAGAGGTGGAGGAGGCGGTGAAGGGGCTTAATAGGAATAGAACCCCGGGCCCGGATGGTATCCCAGCGGAGTTCTACGTCAAGTTCTGGGAGCACCTGAAGGAGGACATGTTGCAAATCTGTAGGGAGACTTTAGAGGAGGGCCGGGTGCCGGACGATATGCGGGAGGGGTTAGTTACGCTGATTTATAAAGGGAAGGGGGATCGCAGGGACTTGGGGAGCTGGCGCCCAATTACACTCCTTAACACGGACTATAAGATTTTAGCGAGGATAGTTGCGACGCGATTAGGGAAGGTGGTGGGGGGGGGGGGGGGGGGGGTGGATCCAGATCAGACGTGCGCAGTCCCGGGGAGGAGGATCGCGGACTCCCTGGTGGTGCTGAGGGAGGCTATAGAAGGGGAAAGAGAGAGGGGGTGTCCACTGGGGATTTTGAGTTTGGACCTAGACAAAGCCTTTGATCGCCTGTCGCATGAGTATATGCTGGCGGTGATGGAGGGAATGGGAGTGAATGGGCCCCTGGTGGAGTGGGTGGCACGGCTCTACGGTGGGCTCAGGGCTAGGCTTTTGATAAACGGGGAACGCTCGGGGGCGATCCCAGTAGAGTCCGGGGTGAGGCAGGGGTGCCCAATGTCCCCGGTCTTGTTCATCATGAGCATGGAACCTCTTGCCGCAGACAATAAGGGATAACCAAAGGATAAGTGGAGTGACAATCCCGGGCAACAACGAGCAAGGGAAAGTGACATTGTATATGGGCGACGTGGCCGTGCTGTGCTGGGACGTCGCGTCAGTGTGGCGAGCTATGGAGGAGACAGGGCGGTTCTGCGCGGCCTCCGGCTTGAAGATCAACGCGAGGAAGAGCGAGCTGATGGCCTTTGGGGGCTCGAGGTTGTTCGAGGGTCGGCCACCGGAGTTGAGGCTGCAGACGGAAGAGATCACGGTGCTGGGGGTGACCTTCTGTAGGGATAGATCGGCGGAGCATAACTGTGAGAAAAGGATCAGGAAGGCGAAGGGACGTTTGGGTAAGTGGGCAGGGAGACGGCTCACGATGGCTGGGAGGATCATGGTGGTGAAGGTGGAGATTCTGCCAACGTTAAACCACCTGGCGCACGTATTCCCACCTGGTAGGAGGGAGGTCAGGTCCTTGACATCGACGCTGTTCGGATTTATCTGGGGGGGGGGGGGGGGGGGTGGGGGATGGAGAGGGTAAGGAGAGTGATACTGTGCAAATGGGTTGTGAACGGGGGGAGGGGCGCCCCAAATGTGGCGTACACCCTGATCTCGATCTTTATGTGTAATGCCATGAGACTGTTCTCCTCTGCAGAACCGCGAGGCAAGGTGGCATGCTACATGAGGTACCGCCTGACGTGGCGCCTGCGGGGCCTCGGGATGACCCAAGCGGAGAGGAGCACACCCTTGGACTGGCCGCGGGGCTGGTTGAGTGAAGTGGTGGGGGACTATATGGAGCAGCACGGTCTGAACCGGTGGGGGGGCCAGTGGAACCCCAGAGAGGTGCGGGCCGAGGCGGAGGAAGGGGAGACCTGTGAGGAGGTGCCAGGTGCGAGGAAGGCGGTACTCCGGCAAATGTGGAGGAACACGTCGTCGACCGCACTCACAAAAGAGCAGAGGGACCTATCCTGGCTGGCGGTCCGAGACAAACTGGGGACGAGGGCCTTCATGTATGCCCGCCAAATGGCACGCACCCCCAAGTGCCCGAGGGGCTGCAACGTGGACGAGAGCGCTGTACATGTGATGGTGGCATGCCCCTTTGCACAGGAGGTGTGGAGGCGGAGCGAACCGCTGTTGGCCCGGTTTGCCCCGACGGAGGTGACAACGTGGGACATTATGTGGGGGGAATTGCGGGGACTGGGAGGGGAGGAGAGGGACCGGGCGTGGGCCATAATAGGCGCAACAAAGGAGGCCTTATGGAAGGCGCGCAAGAAGGAACTGGAGGGGTCCCAGATGTCCACTTTGGAAACGTGCCACGTGGCGAGGAGGTTGTTTGGAGAGGGTGGTGGAGGTGGATCGGGTGAGGCTGGGACACGAAGCCGCGCGGGAAAAGTGGAAGTGGCCGCTGCCCAGGGTGGGATAGGGTGGGGCCAGGTGTCAGGAGGAGAGGGTGGTGGGAAGTACACGAAGTGTACCGGCGCCGGCCGGCTGAGGGGTGGGACGCAGAGCGCCTGGAGTTTCAGGTCGGGGGGACGGGGGGGAGGGGCGCGGGAATGGACGGTGCCTGGGATGGGGGAGGGCTTTACGGGCGCCCGGGGGCGAGGTCGCGCGTGGCTGGAGGGGAGGTGGCCCTCCATGCACAGATGCGCCCCAGTGCTGTGTTGGGCGGGGGTGATTCCGGTCTCGCGGATGTGTCGGTGGCCGGGTGGGGCCTTCGTGGCGCGCGGGAGGGGGCGGCTCCTCGTTCTTTGTTTGTGTTCTTCGCTGAGAAACTGAATAAAATTTTAAAAATCGTTATTACCAGCGAAACGGCGTACTCAAACTGTAAATGTTGTGGATTCACTCTTCAACACACCGATGGGCTAAAGTAGTGAACTATTTGTCTTTTGTCAACGTGACACTTTTTTGCTGATTGGCCGTGTCGGGTGGTGGAGGGTTACGACACATTTATAAATAACGCGATCTAACCCAAAAACCTTTATTATGAACTCTAAGGAATTGGCCAAATATATAAAAAGACCCGTCCCTACAGAACTAGTAAAGAATGAATGGGGTGTTATACGATACAAGGACAGTTTTAATAGTATTTTTTAATTTTCTTCCCACTAGCGTGCAGAAATATATTGCAATTAACTGCACAAAAAACATACGGTGCATTATATACTGCATCCATATTGGACATCTCATATTTTGCACTTTCATTTTGCTTCCTCGGCATTAAAGGCACACTGCTTGGCTAATGGGCATGTAACCCTCTCCTGTATAATGCACATGAGTGAGCCTGAATTGCGTGCACCATAAAAAAAAAGGGGTTAATGCTGTCCATGCTGTTCGGCATATCCTGATGCTGGCTCGGTGAAACAAACATCGCCTCTCCTCCTTTGCCTGATCCCTCCCTCCAGCTCCCTTATCCTGCACGCATACACTCACGCTCTCCTCCTTTCCCCCCCCGCCCTGCATGGAGTGGCTCTGACGGGCGACACAGGCGTTCAGCTCCCACTCCTAAACCGTCCTCTGCCGTTCACAGCGTGTAAGCTCGCCCACCCACCCGGTCATACAAAGATCACAGCGCACGGCGGTACGCGCGCTCTCACGCGGCTTGAGCGTAGCGCCGCCGCCACAAAACCCCTGCTCCGACGAGAGCCTGGCGGCGGCTGTGCGGTGGTGGGCGAGCCAAGATGAGGGAGATGACAACATAAATCCCGCTCGCCTGGGCTGTTTGGTGAGTCTGCGCTTGGTTATTATTATTATTATTGTCGCACACTTCTTTCCGTGGGAAGAAGAAGAAGAAGAAAAAAAACTTTCAGCTCCGTTCATCGTCGAAGCGGAGAAGCGAACCGATGTCAATGCTGAATTTTGTTACCTCCTTATTTTTTGTTAATGCCATTGGAAATATCGAACCGGTTGTTGCTCGTAGATTGCATCTGATTGGGAACATTTCATTTCAGAGTTTCTTTTGATGTAACATTTTAAAAGATGTACGTGGTTTCTTTTTTTCATGCGTATAGATTTAGAATATTGGGGTTTGTTACCCCTCTTATTCAAGCATATGTTTTAGTGCTGATTTACATATCTTTAAACATAAAATAAACATTCTGTATATACAAATGTAAATAGTGTTTGATATTAATGAGGTAATACACCGGTGAATTCTGTCTATCCTCTGGAATTATGCTACCCTTTGTGGTATATGATAAGTATTTTGTAAAATCAACATAGCATTTCTTATCGAAATAAAAACACACGTACAGTGTTATTTAAAATATTCCTCATACTTTCTAAAGAAACACATTACTAATCAGACATATGTTCCTGAATTTTAACACATGTGCAGCCGTAGAATGATTGATTTAAAGCTGCACTATTATATACACAGAACATTGTATTTGATTTGTACAATACTGTGCTTAACGTACGAAAACGTGATTATCATGTGATATGCGAGTCTAATGCTGAACCGTTATCGACGAATAAATACTTCCCGTTCATTGACGCTACGTTAGGACTGCACTGACAAGCCGAGCGTTATGTTGTATACAAATTCCTGTGTGAATTGAAGGTTAACAGTGACTCATTTTCAATGGGCATTCATTCTTATGCCCTTATATACCTCAAGCTGAGATGAAGATGACGAGCCTTCCCCCAGGGTGTTCTCAAAAAAGCAGCATCTATTTATTCAGCTCTTGAAATATGCATGCCATTTAACATGAATCGTATGTAGAACACACATAGCGTGCATGCGCGACCATGTTCGTAGTGGCTACACATTCGGCAGCACACATTATATCACTTTCGTTTATGTCACCCCGAAGTTATTTGTCACAAGAATTACGTCTAGGCACGAAACTATAGCATATTAGGAATATCCCATTCCTTCCATCCAACCTCAATTCATGAAAACAATATTAATGAGAATATGAACGTATTTAATTGTGACAATTGGCCTTATGAGAAAAACCATATATCGTGCTTGTCTCTGCTTCCACAATAATGGCATTGGATATTTTGCTTCTGTTGTCTGTGTAACCACATCGGTTATCTCCAGCTGAGCTGCACCGATTATCGTAGCCCTCCATGAGTCTAGACACGTTTGGGAATGTCCCACACGTGTATGTATGTATATATGCTTGGAATATCATAATTTTGCAATGTTCATTTATCAGAAATTATGCAAACTGCATCTTGTACTACCACTGGGATCATGTAAGACTAGATAGCAATCTCAGTGCCGATTAATGATTTTACTTTAGACTTTAAGATCCATATTTCATAATCCGACCATGTATTGTGCCAATGCCAGGTTGCGATTATTTTAGGAAGTCACTGGGCACAATGAGTTATTCATAGTTTTTTTGTTTGCATTTCCTCACAGGATTATGCATATTTTAAAATGTAATTTGACAGTAATTCCTAACTCGAGTCACACACTCTCATGAAATGCAGTCGGTTGTAATGAACATTTTGGGCAAGTTTCATATTGTGATGTAGAATAAATGAAAATGTGGCATTCACTGATTAGCTTAAGCTTACTTTGGACAGTAATTGGGTCAATTGATGGATGTCTTGGAGTTCTGCCTATGTTTGGGGAAGATGGTGGGGGATTATATTTGCAGCTAAATGCTTATTTGGTTTCTTGAAAGCTGTAACCATGTTGACACTCGGGACAGCTCAAGTGAATTCAGAAACACGTTGTGATTGTTAAATGTCCATGAATTGTTCAACTGCTAATTCTTAGTTGTTTATCCAAGCTACAGTTTGGTGTAACTATTTATTTAAAGCTGGTTCAATCGTTTGCCAGAATATATCAGTTTATTTTTAAAACGTGAAATGATATTCATACCTCAGCACGAATTTCGCCTGCAGCTATTACCTTGTGAAATGTGTGGGAGTGTGCTGTATTGCATCAATTAGCTCGTGTTGGGATATGTATACACATGTGGGGTAAGGTTTGAGAGAATGTGCATGTTTGAAAGTGATAACTATATTGACACTCAAGGTATGACAATCGATTTAGAAACACATTTTTGTTAAACTCCAGGAATTGTTTGATCTCTTTTTAGTTGCTTTTATTTTCCTCGAGCAAAAGTTCAGTGTTTATTTATTTACTTAATTATAATAAGTTGATGTATTTTTTTTAATCAATGTTAGAAAAAGGTCAAAACATTGTTTGGTTTATTTTGAAGACATTTAACAAATAATTCGGGTTAAAATCCCTCCACGCTCGATGAGCATGAAGCAGTATTCATGTCTGCTGGCAGCCACCAGCCAATGGTGATAATTCAGCGCCCCTGCAGTGGGAGCCAGCCTCTAACCATCGCTGAAATCTCACATCTGTTGTAGTGGCAGCAGTGGAATAGAATATGTACTTTGAAGTCGTTGCTTGCCATTATATTAAATGAAGCATTTTCATAATGAGTCACAATATTGCTCGATAACTTAACTTGCACATTTTACTATTTTAAAATAAAAGCGATCCAATGGTTGCATTTTTGCGCATCTATAACCCTATTGTCGTCAAAAAGCTCGAACTTATTTTTACTCGGAAGCTGAACAGTGTGGAACGCGATTAAGCCTTCCGACACAGAGTTGTCTGGGCTTGCCAGATTCTTAACAAGAAAGGCACACAAACGCTTGCTGATAATGCAAACCACCCCTCTGCTGAGTTGCCACAGAAATTATCCAGGCCAAGCTGCTGCATTATTGTAGATTGTACAGATTGATTCCATGTAGTACTGTTGTAGGATGCATACAAAATGTAGGCAAAATATCAGTTTATCATGTCCCCTGAGGTTCATACCACAAATACAGGTCAGATGCGCAAGGTGCCATGTGTACAGGCCAGGTGCGCTGAATTTATTTTGGCCCCGTCCATTAAGTCTGAGGCATATGGTGATGTTATGCCACATCCCGGGTTCCTGCTGGCAGTGCTCACACTGTATGTGCTCACCAACTTAGCCACACAATACGTGTCTGGTGAACATCCACGTTTGTCGATGACGTGCCGTGGATGCGAATGTAAGGATTTTTTTTTTAAAATCTCGCATCCGTCAATGCAGGAGCCACAATTACGTAATCATTCTCAAATACGCACAGTTCATTGAGATGTCCTGCGAATCGAGCAAAGCAGTCGCCTTTCCATTCATCAGGACCCAAATGACGTCCCTCGTCGTCGCTTTAAGTCACTTAAGCGTTTTGGACCCACCTGCTTTAACCTTCAACAATGCGAGTTCAACCCCAATTAAACTTGGAGATCTAAACGGAGTTCAAAATAACTCACAAACAAACACCTTAGGAAAGACCCAACGTGGAAGATCATTCGGTTTGACCTTCCACGAAGCTCATGGTCCACCCTAAACTGCATCGCACAAGCCATGGCAGATGCGGATACCTGATGCACAAATGGAAATGAAAAACTCTCCAGTGTGCGACTGTGGTCATTCAGAACAGATCGTACAACGTATAACGAAGCAATGCCCCGATCCACAAATACGAAGGAGACATCACAGCGATACAACTCCGCTGCTCTTGTCGCAGATACCTGGCTTGAACACCTGAATGTGAAATCGTAGTTGTTGCTCTGCATCTACATCAGCCATACGAAAGAAGAAGAAGAAGGTTGATTTGTCTTAGTGTAATATTACATCAAGTTGTGCAGAATTTTAATAATACACTTTACATGATTAATTTAATTTGTATAAACTTACAATTCTGCAACATGGGAATGATTAATGCAGCATCAGAGTATAATTATATTATAGAAATATAATATGATGTTCATATAGTACACTAAGTTAATGCTTTCGCACTTGAATGAACATAGGGCATTGCCCATCTGTTGTTTGTAGCCCTGAGTGACTTCACATGGCAATGTCCATCCATAGGATGGCCACGTTTGACTTCCCACATAGCGGTTCTGGTTTAGTGGCCGTAGGTATTGGACTGCGTGCACTCTGACCAGGATTTAAGCTCTCGTGCCACTTTTCCACAACCGCTGGGAATATCAAATCTGTAATTGGCAAGAAAAGACATCACGCCAAAAAAACACATGAAGGCTGGAAAACGATGAGCGCTTTGGCTCTGTTCATGAACCGGGCTTGCCGGCCTTCGCCAACGCTTCCACCACAGGCCTTCCAGGTCAACCCGACATCAAGCGGGGTCCACACTAGCTTTTATAAGGAGCAGAATTCGTTCAACTATGCCGGCATCAGAACCAGCGTGTACTACCTGCGATCAAATTTGCTTCAGGAGCATGGTCAGAAGCAACAGATGTCAAACTACCTCGCCTGGTATACAGGTCGCTGGTTTGATCCCGACCCTGACACCCGTATATTTGGGGTTGCATGTTCTCCCCATGGTCGCGTTTATTTCTTCTTTGGGTACACAAGTTTTTCCCTCCATATGTGTTTAGAGTTTTTGGCTGCTAAATATGCGTTCAGAGTTTTTGGCTGCTATACATTTGCACGTGATAAGCCACTTCGTTGAGCTCTCATTTGTGGCCAGGCCGCTGGTAAAATATTTTTTGTTTTGTTTTAGAAACGAAACTTGAAAACAGTGCACAAAAGCATAGAGATACGCAGGCTTGGATGAGAGAACATATGCCGCTGAATAACATAATTCTTACTGTCATGAAAAATAAGTGATCTTGGGCAGGACACATCACTAGAAGGGATGATGACCAATGGTTAAGTATAGTGATGGAGTGGCAGCCAAGAAATGGAATAC